ATGATATAAAATCATTCACGTCACCACACAGTACACTGATATAGAATCATTCACGTCACCACAGAGTACAATGATATAGAATCATTCAAGCCACCACAGAGTACAATGAATCAGAATCATTCAAGTCACCACAGATTACAATGATATAGAATCATTCACGTCACCACAGAGTACAATGAATCAGAATCATTCACGTCACCACAGAGTACAATCATATAGAATCATTCAAGTCACCACAGAGTACACTAACAAGAATAACACACTCTGTTTATATTGCTTTGGAATATTTTCCAGTATCTTTCAAATATTATTATCAAACGTTCAAGAATACACGTTCTTTATAGTCGAGTGAGTTACTCACAGTAAGATATGGTGTTATCAAATATTGTTTTCCTTATGAAGGGGTGAATTGGGAAGAAACTTGATAATTTGGGTTACCCGTGTCCTATTTTTTTAACAAGGCACTGCTGTCAGTTGCATGCCTTGAATCAAGTGACCGGTACACTATATGGTCATGATACATTCGACCTGTGAAGATCCGGGATAGCTTAGTTCTTCAGCAACCCATGCTTGCCGTAAAAGGCGACTATGCTTGTCTTAGGAGGCGACTAACGGGACCGGGTGGTCAGGGTCGCTGACATGGTTGATACATGTCATCGATCCCAATTGCGTGGATCGATGCTCATGATATCAACCACTGGATTGTCTGGTCCAGACTCGATTATTTACAGACCCCCGTCATATAGCTGCAATATTGCTGAGTGCGGCGTTAAAAAACCAACCAACCAACCATAATATATTCACTTGTACAACACATTTGCGGAACAGGTTGCTCTGTTGGTTCACGTGCCGCTATCCGCTGTGCAGATTTACGCATGTTATGTCTGTGTCTACTGATAATAAACGTGGGTTCGAATCCATGATTCGCTCTGACAATGTTTCAGTATCAAATCCGTGCCCTTACCTTTTTCACAAAGAAAAAGTCGAACAATTTCTTTCACACTACAGCAAACTACGTTTATAACGAACATGCTTATAACGAACTGACGGATATAACGAACTTTTAGTCCCCACCATTTGTTGTATATATGCTGTATGTATGCTTATAACGAACTACGGTTATTACGAAATCAAATTAGTAGCCCCCTCGAGTTCGTTATAACCGTACTCAACTGTACATTGTTTTTAAGACATGTTCAGCCAACATTCCCCATTTATATTTTAACAAAACGAAAAACTTTCCGAGATTTGCTAAAGCTATTTTTTTTATACATTCTCAGATCCTCAAACCCATCCACTCCGAAACCCCATCCGACCCGTTCATCAACATCAAATGTCGGCACCCTCAGGTCCAGCGCCGCGGTTTGGACTTTTCGCGCAATTAACCTCTGGTAAAGAGTTCTTAAAAATTCGACATTCGACGCGAAACCATCTCCTAGAATATTCCTTATATACATGAACTACGACGATTTTTGTCTACCTTTCGAATTGATTGTCAATGATTCATCCAATAAATACACTTAAATCTGACTCAATCTGTCAATAAAACTATATCCTGGTTCCTTCAGTAGAAAAGTAACTTCCTTGTGTTGGTCGACCAACTCTGCTATTGACTATTGGACATTGTCAGTTTGCCACGCAACTCGACCAAATCAGCTGTGAGATAAATCACCAGAAATAGCATATGGTCATGACAGTATGGGGCGTTGCAGTCACAAGGTGCAACAATCGATGCGCTTTTGTTGTCTCATGCTGTCAATGTCAGCTGTTGTTGTTTCACGCCAGACAGTCATATTCCATTACAGCCCTTAAATTAGCCAATCTGGAACAGGAAACCAGTGGTTGATAGCAGGATCAACATCACACGCCCATCACTCATTAAAACCTACGAATACCTTTGTAAACCAGTCCGTAAACGGAAAACGGTCGCTCGAATACAACAGACATGTCAATGACGGGGTTCAATGCACGAGGTTCACGTCCTAAAAGAGAGATGGCGTAACAACACACTTAACAATGTCAATATCGGGTGTGACCCACATTTGCGTTGACACAGGCGAGGCAGCGGCAGCGCATTGATGACACAAGATGATTGAAAACAGCCAACCGGGTGTTGTTCCAAATGTTCCCTAAAGATTGGTCCAACTGAGCTAGCGTTAGCGGCTGGTTCTGATCCTGTCGTAGGCGTCTCTCCTCTATCTCATCCCAGACATGTTCTATGAGGGAGTGGTCTGGGAAACAGCCGGCCATGGCAATACAACAATGTTACGCTGCCCCATAAAGAGTGTGAGAACATGTGCAACATGTTGGCGGCGTTGTCCTGCAACGTGACGTTACGTCCCTCCATTTGCACAAAGGATAGAACATGATCTCGAACGATGTTGTAACTGTAGCGTACGCCATTCAAATTGCCGATCAACAACGATGAGTTGTGTTCTCCCATTAGTTGTGATGCCACCCCATACCACGACACTTCCACCCCCAAACTGCTTACGTTGAGTAACGCAAGCGTCGAACGTTCTCCTGGTTCCCTGTCGACCCTTGCACGACCCCATCAGGGCGGCCCGGATGAAACCCGGACTCATCTGTGAACAGCATACTGTCCAAGTCTTGTTTTCCTATCCTCGGATGCTGTCTACACCAAACCGCCTCCGTGGTCCTGTGGTAGAGCATCCGCCCGGAGAGCGGAACGTCCCGTGTTCGAACCCCGGCCGCGTCATATCAAAAGACGTTAAAAGATGGTTCTTGTTGTCACCCTGCCTGGCGCTCGGCATTAAGGGGCTAAAACAAGGACCGGTCGGCTCGGAGTCAGTATGTCTGGTTGAGGTATTCATGTTAAACTGCGGCATGGTATAACAGTGTGCTACAAATCGGCATCAGTCCGGACTAGTACAAGCACACACACACACACACACACACACACACACACACACACACACACACACACACACACGTACGTCGCTATATAAGTGCAATAATCTTGGACGCGACGTTAAACCCCATTTCACCTCACCCCCACCGTAACTGAAATACTAATCAAAAAGGTGATTTTTCTTTGAGGCAGGATATATTTCGGTCACTGCTTCAAACCAGGCAGTTAACTTTTACCGAAAAGAGCCAAACAATTTAAATTCAATTCACTTACACGTTGATGTGTTTTTCTCTCCACCATGTTTGTAACCAATTAATTTCGGGACCAGAACGTTGGTCCAGTATTGACAGAAATCCGGATTAGTCACAGTCCGGTTGACACAGATACCACTGTAGTACGTAACATTAAGGTTATGTACTTTCCGAACCAACGCGACGTAATTGTTCTTTTTTTATTAATGCGTTCGTGTTTTCGTGACCATGACACATTTGTTCTACTTGTCAGATGATCTTTAGCGCGAAAATATCCGAGTATCGTCTTGCATTATTTGTGCCCCGTGAAGATCCGGGGTCTCTAGCAAAAAATGCTTGCCGTAAAAGGCGACTGTGCTTGTCGAAAGAGGCATCTAATTATAACGGGGTCGAAGGGTCAGGCTCGCTGACTTCGTTGATGCATGTCATCGTATCCAAAATGACGTAGATCAATGCTCATGATATCAGTCACTGGATTGTCTGGTGCAGACTCGATTATTTACAGACGGTGTCATATAGCTGGAAGATTGGTGAGTGCGGTATTAAACAACAAACCAAACAAACAAAACTTGTATTGATTGAAAATCTTGACGTGGCGTGGCTCTCTTCAGCGTGGTGTGTGTGTCTTTCTGTGGGTTTCTAGGAATGTTGTATGTGAAGCGAAGTGACTTACAATTTACCTGGAAGCAGTATAATGTGGGGTATAGGTGGTTTTATTGGTCCCGCGTTAGGAATTATACCACGAGCCGGAGGCGCATATATCCCGGGTGATACAATGAGAGCTATAACGAATTTAGAGAGAGAGAGGGGTGGGGGGTGGGATTGGTGAGAGAGAGAGAGAGAGAGAGAGAGAGAGGGAGAGAGAGAGAGAGAGAGAGAGAGAGAGAGAGAGTTCTAACTCTCAGCACAATGTAGTAAACATTAAGTAGGTGGAGTAAGATTGAACTCACTTTTAATTGGCATATTTTATTTGAGAAGGCAGAGTGGACCAGGTGTTTTAACCGCAAGGCGAGAGAAAGAGCCGCTTTAACGACTAGGCTTCTTAGCTTATCTTTTTACTTGATACCGTTTTCATCGGATAAAAAGAGTTCGCCTCCAAAACAAGGTAAGTCGCTTCACAGGAAGTTAAAAAACCCACTGTGCTCCGCCCTCCGCCCTTTGGTGCCATTGTGGACTAAACAACCTCATGTGTTAGAAGGTACATATTTCCTGATGTGATGGGAAATGACTAATTATAATTAACAAATGAAGTTACATAACATGTTTCCTTTAATTAATATTCCATACATATATGTATGTGTAGAACATATGGTATCTTGAAAGTCCTGAAAATATCAACTCACGATATATGGTTAAACGCACGATGATATAAACACGTTATTGGCAAGGATCGGCTGCTCCCCCTACCCCCCAACCCGACCCCTTCACGGATTCATAATATGGATAATAGCCTCCCTCCATGAATCAATTATTTAAATGAAACAGCATGTTAAGGTTTTAGTATAAATGACAGGATCTGTTCCCATGTTGAACTGCGAAGATTGAGATAACAAATCATGCTAATGTACTTGTTAGACCGGTGAAGATTCCTGGGTAGAATAGGTCTTCAGCAACCCATGCTTGCCGTGACTACCCTTGTCGTAAAAGGCGACTAACGGGATCGGGTGGTCAGGCTCGCTGACTTGGTTGATACGTGTCATCGATCCCAATTGCGTGGTTAGATGCTCATGATATCAATCACTGGATTGTCAGTTCCAGATTCGATTATTTACAGACTGCCGTCATATAGCTGGAATATTGCTGAGTGCGGCGTTAAACAACCAACCAACCAAACCAACTTCCTTGTTAGAGCGTATAAAGTCCCAAACACGTCACCCCAATGATCATTCAGAATGGCTGCGGGTGTATTGGTAGTTTTCATGCTGGCTCTCGCTGTTAGACACTCTGTTCAATGGAGCGGGTAAGATATATAATTTAATTTAGATGATTAACTTTTTTCACGAAAATTGAAACAAGAAGTATTCTAAAAGCAGAATTCGTTTTAGCGTCCTACTGATAGTGTTGTGTGTTTACTTCAGGCGTTTAAAGAGAGACTACGCCCAACTGTTCAAAGACCATTTTCATTCCTAACCGTTGTAATATATGTCGTATATCAACCTGTTATATGACTGTGATTAATGGCGGCAATGGTTTGTCGAAAATTGTTCTACAATTTTAGATTTGTGTTAACAGACAAAAACATTGATCGTTTGTACGAATTCAATCAAATGTGCAGATCAGTCAATCAGTCAATAAATCAAGCAAGCAAGCAATCAATCAAGCAAGCAATACTTTATTCAGTATGAAGGCCATAAGCCCATATACAAATAACAGTTTACAAGAATGGTAGAGGCAACATACATAATTTGAAACATTGTTTAACAAATACTTTCTTCTTTCATACGCATGATAATTAAACAGGCAAGTTGATTTTATTTTGTTCTGTATCGTCTGTGGCAATTATGGTTTTAAATGTATGCATACTAACATTAGTTATACATGTCTTTGGTAGATATTTACTTCTACTGGCATCAAAAGTTGCAGATACAAGTAGCAAATGAAATTCGTCCTCTATACCTCGATGACATAAAGGACAGTTTCTCATGCATATATCGATTTTTTTTGCCATCTACATTCATTTTATCTCAACCGTAATAGTCCACCTCTAAACTCCACTAAAATATTTCGAAGCTATAATTCGCTAATTGCATAAAGATATTTTTCTGGTTCTAACAAACTTTTAAATTATCTATAATGGTTATAACATGAACTGTTATAATAGCAGATATACAATTTTGATAAAACATTATTAGCACCCCATTTCTGGTGTCCCCCCGCCGTGATATTGCTGGAATTTTGCTAAAAGCGGCGTAAAACCGTACTCACTCACAAACTATTAATAGCACAATCCATTAACGTTCTTATTGAACATGTTTTTATCTCCAACTGTTTGTGACATTCAAATAAAATTAAAACCATGAGAAAAAAGTAGATATCTAGTATACGAACCGCAAAAGAAACGTCACCTGGTATTTGTCCAAACACTGTAATGATACTTTGAGACATATCAAAAAGATGAAACTTGGCAAAACTGATCATCAAGGTTAAAATTAAAATGTTAAATATTCTTAAAGTGAAACACAACACTAGTCTCTGAGAAAATGGCATCACAAGTCAGTATCTCGTGTGTCAGCCATGTGCATTGATGACTGCCGTGCAACGTCGATACATGGAATGGATGAGGCGGTTGATGAAGGCCATAGGCACTTGAGCACACTCTGAGGAACGCCTGACATAGTTCAGCTGTAGTTGTCGGCCTTGGTCGGACGTCATTCAGCCGTCCTTGAATCTCGTCCCACAGGTGCTCAATGGGATTTAAATCGTGATTGAGGACAGGCCACTGCATGGTTCTGATGCCATTCTGCTGGAGGAAGTCTTTTGTTGCTCTCGCAGTTTTGGCACGGGCGTTTTCATGCTTCAACTCGTGGTTGCGGCGACGTGCCAAATGAGGAATGGCGTGTGGTCCCAAGACTTGATCAATGTACCGAGCTACTGTGACACCATTGCCTCTCCCTGGACCGATGTTCTGGAAGACCACAGGGCCGACCTTCTGTGCAAGACCAATTCGACCCCACACCATGATTCTCGGACCCCCCAACGAGTCTCTCTCAACAACACAAGCATCCAAATAACGTTCCCCACGGCGTCGCTAGACTCTCACTCTGCTATCTGCTGTTGAGATGCAGTAACGGCTCTCGTCTGTGAAGAGGACTCTTCTCAACTGCTGGTGGCGCCAATGCTAGTGCTGTGTTACCCACTGAAGACGGTACTGGCGATGATGTGGTGTCAGAATGGGTCCTCGGTGTGGCCTGTGACAGTTGAGGTACCGCTCGTCAATCGTCGACGCACGGCCAGTCGAGCAGTTTCCGCAGCAGTAACAAAGCGATCTTGAAGATGCTGTCGCACAATTTGACGATCCTGACGTCGGTTGGTGACCCTTGGTCTTCCAGTACGTGGTCAGTCATCTGTGGTGTTGGTGGTCCTTACCGTTGCTGGAGCCTGTATATGGTCCTTACGTGGACTTGAAATGCATTGGCTACTTGCCGGGCGGTTTGTCCAGCTTGCAATCGTCCAAGGTCTTGGTGTCGCTGATTTCTTGTCAATCTTGGCATGTGGTAGCAATTCAATAACGAATGCATGTTTTCGGATCTGGGTGTATTTATATAGGGCATGAAATAGGGGAACACATGTGCATTTCAATTTGCATGGAACTCACGTGCATCGGGTTACCATGGCCGTTGCCGTGATGCGTTTGGGCGATCGGTTTTATTGTCATCTGCTTTGTTTTTTTATCATCAAATTTCATTTTTTCCGGACAAGGTATGTTAAATTTTAGAAACTTTGACAAATATTACCCAGATATTTAAATGACAACTGTCCATGCAATGTTACTTGGGGTGACGTTTCTTTTGCGGTTCAGTATATTTGAAGCCAACTTTTTATACCCCACATTATCTAAATAAAGTAACATGTTGTACCCTTTTTTATGGAGGGGTCATCATGCATTGATAATATTTTACACCAGTATCCAGCACTACGAGCCAGTGAGTTGATATACATTGGATATCGGTCATATTAACCAATCACCATAAACTATATCATGTTGTTTTTGTGGTCCTATGTGAAAGTTCCTAAAGGAGATTGTACAAGGCAGTCAGTGGGTTTTCGCTATACTCTCAAATCTATTGATTGATTTGTGTACAAAAGAATAGGACTTATCTGACATCCAATAACTTTAAGCGTGTTAACCAAGGCCAGTTCCACGGACCTATCTAAGTGTTAAGACGATCGTAACCACAATACTTTAACGTAGACTTATTACAGTCATAACGCTAAAATGGCTTTGTAGGACGGAACACTGAGCTCACTTTGATCCAAAATTATTGTTATTGCCCCCGTGACTGCGTTTTTACAGAAATTATATGGTAGACATTCAGACAAATTAAAATTTAAGTAAAAATGATACATCACGTGTCAACATGCTATGTTATGCTGTCCCATACTGTGACCGTTACATGGACTTTACACACATATTTACGCACTGGAATTTACAACCCCTAAAGATCCGGTTTAGAAAAGGTCTTCAGTAACCCAGGCCTGCCGTAAAAGGAGACTATGCTTGTCGTTATAGACTCAACTGTTCACAGAGCACAGTCACATGGCTGGAATATTGCTGAGTGCCGCGTGGAAAAACAAACAAAATCAAAACCCCAAAATACAACCTGGTACTGACGTTAGAGCATTGCATGCTTACCATTTTGACGAACACCTGATGTCGTCACTAATTCATTCAAATAATTTGCACCATATTTTCCTTTTAACGCCATATGAAATCTGATTCGGCAGATATTCGAGAGGCTCGCTGATTTGGTTGATGCATTTCATCATATCCCAATTGCGTGGATCGATGCTTATGATATCAATCACTGGGTTGTCTGGTTGAGACTCGATTACTTATTGCCCAGTGCGGCGTTAAACAAACAAACAAACAAACAAAGATATTCGAGACTGATTATTCTCTGGCGTTGACGTTTTGAATTAGATATTTCATTAGTCTTGTGACTGCATGTCCTGCCCTGTTGACTCTGTAAATGCAGTATCTGTTAGAGGTAACTTACATTTGTAAAAGACCCGTGAAGATTCCGGGATAGAATAGGTCTTCAGCAACCCATGCTTGCCGTAAAAGGCGACTATGCTTGTCGTAAAAGGCGACTAACGGGATCGGGTGGTCAGGCTCGCTGGTTGATGCATGTCATCGATCCCAATTGCGTGGATCGATGCTCATGATATGAATCACTGGATTGTCAGTTCCAGACTCGATTATTTACCGACCGCCGTCATATAGCTGTAATATTGCTGAGTGCGACGTTAAACATCCAACCAACCAACCAACCAACCAACCAACATTTGTGAAACCGTATTAATAACTGGCTTTTTGAAGCTGTAGTATCAATGATTACAGAATTGACTAATGGATTATAACAGTTCTTCTTGTTGTACATACAAGGAAGTGGTTATCGTTTGGTAGCGGAGCGATACTACACAAAGTTTGCTGAGGATCAAGTTTTGATGATATTGAAAAAACATCCAACAAATAATCACTGCTAATCACAGACTGTGAAACGTTGGAAGTTTTGGCCACTGCACGCTGATTTCTGCTAGTTTCTAGCATGTCAATAGCCAGTGGACGCTCCATGCGCTGCAGATGCGCCCGTCGCTCGTTCAAACACAAACAATGAATTAGATCTCAAGTAAATCACAACTGTATGATAAGCAGATTGACAGAAATAATGATCCACAGAGATTAGTCGATCTTCCTTGAATGTGTCCAAATCAGGAATGACACATTACGCACGTGTATGGCGCTACTGTTGGGTGTGTTTTGGTGTTATGTTTTACAGATATAAACTTTCTAGCATCGTTTTGTTGTTCTTATATTTGGTTTTAGGATTTGTATTTCATATCTACTTTCTTTTAAGTGTATATATGAGGTTGGCGCATGGGTAAAGTGTTATGCAGGGTGCCGCCAAGTGTTTGACGAGGCCGGAAGTACTTAGCAAGAGTGAAAAAACCCGGATGTTGAAGGTAGCTTTCGAGCGTCCATTTTGTAAAAAGCACAGATGTACGCTTTATGTAACAAACACTCAGGGCACTATACAACGTTAAATGGAATAAATTGTTTGGTCTGGGGGACACGTTAAATCATGATGGTGTACTGCTGGTCGATGGCCGTTCCGTATCGTAACTGTCGACTACGTTTATGGACTTTCTGTTTCATTGTTTGTTTGTTGTTTAACGCCGAACTCAGTAATATTCCTGCTATATGACGACGTTATGTCAATGATCAAGTCTGGATCAGAC